GGGGGGTGCAGGGAGGGAGGGAATGAGAGAGAGAAGAAGAGTGAAAGCTGTAATCTGTTAAAGTCTAGTGAAGAAGCGTTGAGTGGTGGGCAAGCGGGGAACAAAAAAAGGCCCAGAGAAGAAGGGGCCCTTTTCCAGGAGGATCAGGCAATGTAGTAAATTTGGGGTTGGGTAGGTGGGTTGATCGGCTTATTCTTCAGGAAAATGCAAATACTTTCGTAATAGCGATGAAGCTGCGCGTTGCCCCTAGGGGGTTTTTTTTCTTAGCGTATTATGTCGTGTGTGTTGTTTTTTTCTTAGTGTATGTCGTGTGTGTTGTTTTTTTCTTAGTGTATGTCGTGTGTGTTTGTGTCTTTTTATGTTTGCCCTCTCTTTTATTTATTTAATCCTATCGTTACCTTTAAACCTGATTTCTGCATCTATCTATCTATCTATCTATCTATCTATCTATCTATCTATCTATCTATCTATCTATCTATCTATCTATCTATCTATCTATCTATCCATCTGTCTATCTGCCTGTCTTGTCTGTCCACCTACCATAACTCTCAAGGAACAGTAATTAAGTGCTTCGACGTATCAGCTAATTTTTTTTTCTTGTTTCAATCCTACTTTTTCACTTTTAGTTCCATTATTGTCAAGATGAAACGAACGAGAACAAAAATAAGTTTGGAAACAGCCTCTTTGAAATAAATCCATTCCATCTCTTGCCGTCCTATCTGCCAGTGTTGATTTGGGCCTAGGCCAGCTTTTTGTACTATGCCTATCTTCTATTAGGCTTTTCCCTTCTTATGTTGCTTTCCTCCTTTGCTTCTAGAATATTAAAGAGATGTGGTGGTAGTATGCACCTTTTTCCAACTCCATTAAAAAAAACCGAAAACCATTCTGATGTTCCACATTCCAGCTGCACAACCAATCAGCGTCCTTCTTAAAGGGATATGATCTGATAAAAATATTTTATTTCATTTCTTGAAGAGTTTGCCACATCATTAGAAGGTTTACATAACTGAATGCCTTTGAATAATCAAAAATGTGTGCAAGTGTCATTTACCTCTTGATACTTCTAAATGATCATGTATAGATCGAATAAGTGGTCCTTCTGTTCTCTGTACATCCTGGGTGTGTCTTGTTACCTCCTCTTCCAATTTGATTTCAATTCCATTCAAAATATTAAGTTGATTTCGAGCGACATTTTACTCGCGTGACTGAAGAGCGTTTTTTTTCTCCAAAGTTCGAGAGTAAGTGTAGAGCTTAATAATATAAATCTAGCAGAACGACGGCAAAACAATTCAAAAGCTAACCTATATTTTTGGAAAGCGCAATACAGAAATTTTCGCATCCAAACTAAAAGGTCAGCTCACCTTGTCTGAAATCGCGTAGTAATGATTATGTTGCTGATATCAAGAGCAAGTTAAGACAATAATTTCCCAGGCGCTCTTATCTTCGAGGCAGTCCTATAGTAAGACAGTCCTCCAAACAACATTAAGACTGAAGAGTATAATTTGGGGAAATTAGGAAAAGGAGAGGGTTGAATGATACAGTACCCTTTGCAGATAAACGGGATCCTGGTAAAACTTGTATAAGTTGAATATGGGGGCTAGAATGATCAATATATAAGAAACATTGCTGAAACTCCAGAGAATAAAAGTAACTTACCCTCAGCTCAGAGCAACGCCCCCCCCCCCCCCAATCCACTAATTCAAAGAAAAAAAGTATTGCCTAAGCCCACTTGGCTGACTATCCAATCACAAATCACTGAAGATAACCACGGCCACGCCCAACTGTCTCTCTATAATCCAGAGCACAGTCCTGAAGGTTTCATCGTATTATAATGCGGTATTTATATGGTTTAATACCTTGAGGCAGGATAAATTTACCTTCATGTAGAGGCAAAAGCGACCGCTGCTGTGCTGTTTGATAAAATCTTCCTCAGCCAACTATATCATAATATGTTATAAAATCGTGACCAAAACCATTCAGATTGAATTTACCACCATTCGCATGATATTGCCGGGACAGATTTTTAATTTGCGTTTGGGATGCGATTGGCCCTAAATGACTTCCGGGTCAAATTTAAAGAGGTTAAGCGGAGGTATGTTGGGTTTTTTTTACATGCACAGTGTGCACTGCCGGGAGCTATTGTCGGTAAATTACCTGATTCAATCTTACTATACAGATCTGGTTCATTTGACCAAAGGTTTGCCGTTCGTGGTGACAGAAGAAAACTATGACTCCTTCTAATGGTTGCTCATGACCACTTAGACCATTATTAAAATCATGTTATTGCCGTCCTCACTGTAAGGTTTGTCCGAACTGACAATGCAATAACAACAAAAACATTCATGAATACACATCTTTTATTTGTTTACAACGGTTTGGATAAATAGGTCCATGTTGCATTGAACCTCAGAGTCTTATTGACTTTCCCCTTCTTCGTCTCTCTCTTTTCTCTCCCTTTCTCTCTCTCTCTCTCTCTCTCTCTCTCTCTCTCTCTCTCTCTCTCTCTCTCTCTCTCTCTCTCTCTGTGTTTCTGTCTTTATCTCTCTCTTTTCTTCAGATACACACACAAACAAACACACACACACACACACACACACACACACACACACACACACTCAGACATACACACACACACACACACACACACACACACACACACACACATTTAGGCACTTGCATAGACTCATGAATACACACGTGCACTTACTTTTTCTACCTTCTTTTCCTTTATAGGTGAAACCTGTATCATGAAAACACCAGACTGCCAACCCGGAATGGCGTGTACCCAAGCCATTGTCCCAACATGTGTGCCAATCGAATGCCAAGCCTGCAGACCTCACCAGGAGTGCCGTAAGGTCAAAAGAGAAGGCCCATGCAATGATGGACCAGAAATATGCGACAAACCAAAGTTAGTCAGTCCATATTATATTAAGCTACATAAGGTCATATGATCGGCCGGAATTCAAGTTTTTTTTTTTCTAAATCCGTGTAACGTATTGCATCTGGCTTAGATTCTAATTGTACAAACCAATGTCGTTCTCACACGTGATGCTGCATCCTGGAATGTCAGTGCATTTTTAAAATCACGCACTATGCATTCTGTTTTCTTGGCGTTCAGTAGTAGGCCATTCTCTTCAGGGTTTTTTTAGGAGGGGGGGGGGGGGGGAGGTTGTTTTATTTGTTTTTGTCACTCTTGAAATATTATCCCAAAATAAAAATTTTATAAGTTCGGTGTGTGATAGATCAAGATATGTCAATGAAATAACATGTATCCTATATTTGTAAAAATCTAAATCTCCAACTGAAGAAAATAGGGAGCATTAGAAAATATCTATCTGTTGATGTCAGCAAAAGTTTAATAACATCACTTATATTGTCAAGGCTTGATTACTGCAATTCCTTACTTACTGGCGTACCTGATGAACAGTTACAGCAACTATAAAGAGTACAAATTATTGCTGCCAAAATAATTACGAAGAAACTAAAACATGATCATGTGACTCCTATTTTAAAAGAGCTACACTGGCTCCCGGTGAAAGAGCGTATCCCACATAAAATCTGTTTTAACTAGCTACAAGTGCTTACATGATCTATAAACTGACTACCTAAACAGTTTTTAACACTCTATGTACCACCTCGGTCTACCGCTCAGATCATCAAGGGACAAAACAACCCTAGTCAAACCTAAAATAAATTATTAATCATATGGCCAACCCTCTTTTTCATATTTCGCCCCTCTTGTTTGGAATAGGCTTCTAAAAACTATCGGAGAAGCAGAAAATCTAGAAATGTTAAGAAAAACTAAAAGCATTTCTATTTTCATCATAAATTATTTCGATTGGAATCCATCCAAGCTGTAGATCGTCGTGGGTCTGTATATGCGCCTGTACGTATCTGTGTATGTGTGTAAGTACGTGTGTATGTGTGTGTGGGTGCATGCGGGCGTGAGTATATCTGTGCACGAGTATGTAATACTATGTGCCTTTAAAATTGATTTGTAATTCCATAATATGTTTCATGTTAAGCGCATAGAGCATTGCATAATTGGATGTGCGCTATATAAAAGCAATCCATTATTATTACTATTATGGTTAGAATCACTTGGAACTTATAGACTCAAGAGTCCGTTATCAAGACTGTATCATCAGCGTACAGCAGGCTGTTAATATTGTAGCCGCCTATCTTGGCTTCTTCTGTATCATTAATATAACTCCGTATCATTTTGCAGTATGAATTAAAGAGGTATGTAGATAAGACACATCCTTGTCGTACTCACCTGCAGATTGACCTGTATTCAATAAGAGGTGGATAAGAGACGAGAGACCACGAAACTGGCATGGTATTGGGTAGTCTAGAGTTTAATAAACAAAACCACCCTCGTGTCAATCACTGGACGGCTCTTACATAATGCTATACTATGTTGGTCATGCAGGGTTGAGGTATCAACGCGGGCAATCTCTTATTATTCATCCTTCTGTATTATATCACATTTTAGGATTTTCTGCGCCATGAAGAGCCACGACGAGTGTAACGAAGACGTGCACTGTGGACAGGGCCAAAAGTGCTATAAAGGCCAAATATGTGCCGCTCTTGCACATGCACCGTTAGCGCCGCTGGAATTATCACAAAACGCTGAACAGTCGAGAAAAAAGCGCTCCGCGTATTACAACGATATGTCTGATCCCTTCTGTGCCTCAAGCAACCACTGTGGGCCTGACGACTGTGGGGGCTGCCCAAAGGGAAAGGTGAGAAATAGCAGGATCTGTACCCCCCAATCACACCTCTTTAAAGTTCATAATGTGTCATGGCACGGTGGAATTAGGCCCACGTCAGTTTGTGGACATAAGGGGTAATTGGTGTTATCTTAGAGCCTGTTCACTTGTCTTGTTTCTATGAAAAAGAAATATCCATTTATCCCAAATAGAAATCAAGATATGTTCGATTGAAAGAGATGGTTGTCCCCTGGTTTCAGAGGTACAATTAGCGAGAAAATGGCCGGCAACGTCTGGTGACTTTCATAGCTTGAAAGTCCTTGGAAACTGAAAATCCACATTTTTGTGTGCCTTTAATCAATGTTACTCAGTAACATTTACACCGAAATTTAATTTGTTTTTAAATGAGCATAAAAGATGTTGAACCAAAGAAAAACGACCAAAAAAATCAATACCAATTGCCAAATCGGGAGAAAAAACGCCGGTTTCTTCTATTTCAATATATTAGACGAGCACCTGATTTCACCATGAAGCTTCACATTATGTTTATGAGTAATTTCGTTGCAGTATTTTTGAACTTTTACTGGCAAACAGTGGGTCTATTCTCGGCCTCTGGTTTTGATTTTTATGCTGTTGAGTTATTTTGATATGTTTCTGTAAAACTTAACCTCGCAATAGATAGACTGCAGCTGTTGGAAGGTCCTTTGATTATCGCCAGAAAGCATGACGTTTTCATCGGTGCCTGTTTTTTTAATTGTAGTTCTGAACAGGTGGGAAAGGAGTAAATCCTATGTAGTGAGGTGGGGTGGATAATAGAGGGGTGGGTGGCGGTTAAGAGGCGGAACGAGAACTGTGCGGATTTTGACATGAGAGTGAGAGATGAACGTAGAGGCTGGTCACTCACAAGTTACTGATCTTGTAAAATTTTGGTTGTCAAGAAATGAGGCAATCACCACATCAAAGACTTTACGATTTTTAGTACTATTGCCGGTACGAAATTCATAATAAGATATCTTTGCTGTATTATTTCTTGTCGTTGATAATGTTCTCATTGTTGTTCTTGTTTTTAATTTTTGTGTTATGTTGTATTTTCGCCTGTGTTTAATTCAGTAATTAATTAGTTATTGTTAAACGGTACTTTTCCGTTTCTTGCTTACAGTGATTCAGTCAGTTAATATAATACTTTGCCTTTATAGATCTTAACTATACAGACATCGGACCAAAAGTGTGTACTTCCTATCTATAGGTATTAATGCCTGTTGTGAACGTCGATGTATACAGACAGGTGTATAGTAATGAACTGTTATAGAATAAATGTTACTACTTGTTCTTGAACTTGATATTTCCGTCTGTACTTCATGTCTCCTTACACTATCACTTTAAATCAATATAAATCATATTATTGTTTATTTAGAAAGCATCTCTAAGGATCTTTGGTTAATGCACCGAAATCAATGTGGTTCGACCTTTGCCTGCTAGTATCAATTCATCCGTTGTGGGACATGACATCCAGTCAAAATCACAGTGATACTCTATAAAGCATTCCCGCTCCCTTCCTCCTTGTAGGACTCAAACTAATGTCTTTAGCGTGGAAACATTTTCTGAACATCACAAGCACCAATTATCCTATGCGCCTTTTTGCAGATTTGTAAACAAACAGACAAAGTTTGTGTGAAACATCCTTGCGACGATCACGTGTGTGTGGAAGATAATGAGTGCGGAGGATGTTTAAATGGTAAGAACGTCTCAATCATTCTTAAAATATTTAATACCCTTCTTAACACAGGATGCTTATTTATGAGGAGGGGTGGGGTTTGTCTTATTGTTTTCTTGAAAAGATAAGAAATATTAAGACTTTTAACATATTATGAAGAGCCAAAAAGAGTAAAATTCGGTAATTGGGCGTAATATTTGTTAGGACAGTTTTGTAACTTCAGATTAGGCTCCCGTGCTTTTTCCTTTAAGGCTTGGTCAATTTGTTCCAATAAAATATTTACCAAAATAGCTCATCATGCTTCAGTGCCTGTCAACATTATGACATCAAGTAGGGCAAAGGTCTACCTGACTCGTAAAGGTCCACTCGAGGTATCTCTTTTGAAAATAAGTTCAAATTACATATAATTAGAGACAATATGGCTACTCAATTTTATTCCTACAGAGAATGAAGGCCTCAGCTGTGCGTAGTAAGTCAAGCTGGCTCCAAATGGAGGAATCGGGTAGATATTTTTGTAAAATAGTTTTAAAAAACTACAATGTACATCGGAGAGAACACTTATTCATTTGAATTGAATATGTGGACAACCCAGTATCTGCCCTGGAGCAGCAAGCGTTCACAGAAATCAAAAAAGAAAAAAGTATGAAAAATACAAGCAGGGCAAAAAAGAAACAAACCAAAACAACAACAACAACAACAACAACAACAACAACAACAACAACAACAACAAACAACAACAACAACGACAACAACAACAACAACAACAAACAACAACAACAACGACAACAACAACAAACAACAACAACAACAACAACAAACAACAACAACAACAACAACAACAACAACAACAAACAACAACAACAACAACAACAACAAACAACAACAACAACGACAACAAACAACAACAACAACAAACAACAACAAAAACAACAGCAACAAAAACAGCAACTACTGATGCTATTGATTTTTCAAGCCTGTTATCAGAAATACGATGACGCTCTGGGTATTCGCTAGCAGATATTGTCAATAGATGTACAGTCAGCCACAGGTAGAAATATATTCAATATCGGCTTGTTCTCGTGAAAACTGAGACATCCTATACAAAAGTCGACTTTAGTCCTGACTAAACACTATGTTATTAATTGTGACATCTGCCCGTGACACTAAGTACTGATTAGAAGGGGGCTCTTGTGGCCTAGAGGTTAAGGTGTTGGCCTCTCACTCAAAAGGTCCCGGGTTCGAATCCGGGTAGCGACCGAAAAATTTTCTCCTCTAAATTTGTCTCCTTTCACCTCATTTCCTACTCTCTAGCAATGTTCTGTCGTCTGCTTTCGTCTCCACGTTCTGCCCTCACCTCCTCACCTCCTTTGCCCCTTCCTCTGGGCTCCTGATTCTTTCTTCAGCCTTTCTACTGCTACTCCTTCGCTTCTTTTTACTGCAGTCTTTCAACCACACAGCTGATCTTCTGGTAGGAAAGATCTACACCTAGCCTTCTCGGACAAGGGCGAAAATTCTCGGAGAGCATGTGTGCAAGTTGCGCACGTTAAAGATCCCTTGGTGGTCTAAAATCGATAAGAGTAGGCTTCGGCCGCCATCAGGCAAAATTCAAAATTTCCTACCAACTGAAAATATTAGGTGTGTCCCGCGCGCTCATATGACCTTATGCAGTTGCGAGCGCCGTAAAATACTCTACTATAAAAAATTTAAAATAAACTGATTAGAAGAATGTTTTTGTTCATCGCTTAAAATGATAAGCACTGACTTGACCACCTCATAACATGTAGTGGTGAAAATAAATTCCTGATTAAATCTATTTTACTCATACTGCAATATTCGTGAGCTCGTGACTGAGAAAGAGGGGGGGGGGATCGAAGTGACAATGGTGGGACCGAGTATTACTTAAACGTTTGAGCTATTAACTCCTGGTCAAATTGTTTATAGCTTTGATGACTAAAACAAGTTCTCACAAAATTTGTTTACAGGTCAAGTTTGCGAAGTTCTCTACCCCCCTTGCCCTCCACCAGTTGACTGTGAGGCACTCCGGAGAGAGGATCCTGAGGCACATTGTCCCGAAATCAAATGTGAGCCCATCGCCACCTGCGTTTCTACACTAACCTGTGCCAACGTCCGTTGTGAAAAGGGAGCTACGTGTGAGATGTTCAAGCCTCCCTGCCTTGGAGGGCAGTCTTGTGAACCGGCACGACCTGAATGTAAATCTGCCTGCAGTAAGGAATGTCGCCCAGGATTCCAATGCGAAAGTCTCCATCCTCCTTGCCCGTTACCAGCCGTGTGCCTGGAAAGTGAATCCCAAGACTGTGTTTCACCTACGTGTCCCAGCTTCGAAAGATGTGCTGACGTCAGACCAAACTCCTGCGATGACCTGCAGTGTCCTGGCGGGACGGAATGCAAGATGATCACAGACACTTGCGGTCGTGGTAAGCTCTGTCGTAAGATGGCTAAGGCGGAGTGTGTCCCCGTTTGTAATAAGAAATGTGGACGCAATCGCGAATGTAAAATCGCCTCGGAATGTCCGTCTGATGGTAGCAAATGTAAGCACAGGCAGAAGTGTGAGCGTAAACCGGGAGCCTGTCCAAAATGTAAGCCCGGCAGTGAATGTGCCTTGTCCAAACGATGCCAAGGGTGCAGGAAACGCTATGTCTGCGTACTCAGCCGTGGAACGTGTCCTCCTGTGCCAACAATTAAGCCTTCCAAACGAGCTTGCAAGAAAGAGAAAAGACGATCCCGTCCGTGTGTCAATGACGACCAATGTAGAAAAAATCAGAAATGCTGTACCTCAAAGTGTGGTCGCAAGATATGTAGAAAAGCAATGAAGCCTATAGCTCTTCCATAGTAGTTATTGCGGACTAAACACTTTCTTGTGGGTTATAAGTTTAAGATTTTATTTCGCTATATTTCATTATATAACGACTGTTGATCATCACCAAAATGAACAACAAAGCTAGGTTCGGGAAATAGTTTTCAGAAATAAACTTGGTCTATTGCACGAGACAAACAGACTTGAGTACCGTTTGTCTGTCTGGTGTTGTTGTCATGTTGTTGTTGTTGTTGTTGCTGTTGCTGTTGTTGTTGTTGCTGGGTTTTTTTGGTCTGTTTTAAATAAAATTATTGACTCATTTCTCTCATAATTTTCAGTTGGGGCTGAGAAGATCAGGATTTAATGCTCCTATAAAATTTGTAAATAGTGACCTTCGAATTGTAAGACAATCTTTGAAAGCGTCTAAACAAGTGGATGAAATCCAAACTGACTTTTGTTTGCAGATATACACTGTAATTGCCCTAAGATGCCTGAAGTAGGATTACGGTTTTTGTTGCTGTTGTTGTTTTTGAAAATTGTGTTTTACGGTGCTCGCAACTGCATAAGGCCATAAGAGCGCGCATGACACATTAAACATTTTCAGTTGGTAGGAAATACAATAAACTTTCAATTTTGTTCCGTTGGCGGCTAACGTGCGCAACTTGCACACGGCACCTCCGCGATTTTTTACCCTTATCCGAGAAAGCTAGGTGTAGATCTTACTTACCATAAGATCAGAGATGTGGCTGAAATACAACAGTCAGAGTTTCTGTGATTTGTTGTCTATTTTACAAGTGCAATAGTGATGTTTGTAATATAATAATATGTGTGGATGTGTGTGTTAATGAGTGTGTTTATGTAAGCCTGTGTTTGTGTGTGTGTGTGTGTGTGTGTGTGTGCGTGTGTGTGTGAGTAAGTGTGTGTATGTTTGTGTGTCTGCGTGTGTTTGTGTTTGTGTTTATGTGTGCACGTCTGTATGAGCGTGGAGAAAGGGGCTAAAAGTCAGCTCATATCGTTTTGAGCTACTTCAACTACCTGCAGAGTTTAAAAAGTCAGACTTTTGACCAAAAACTATTTCCATTAATTTTGAAAATAACAACAATAATGCTACCTTAACTGAACTATAATGTAGAAAAAGTTTAATAAATTTGTCTCGTAAGTATTAAAAAAACCTGGGGCTTGACCTTCACTATGAATACACCGGTCTACAACTTTTCAGAAAGTGTCTGCTTTCGTTCTCAGACATCACTTTTTATAAGGATTTTGGGGCGCTGAACACGAAAATGATGGGAAATTTGATGTTTTGGTCTAGTTTTCAAGAAATTCAGTGTTTCATATTTTACAAATAATAAAAAGGACTAAAAATTGGAGTCACATCACACTAATTTGACTTATTGTTTCTTGACATAGCTCTTGTATTCAAGTTCTGGTACATTTGTTGTGACTAACCAACAGTAATCTGCTAATACGTTATCATCCCATTTGGCCTGATGTCGCTTTCCATAGCTGCAATATCATGATTAAAATGTTCCCTATATGCACCATTCACTACATCACATTGATAAGACCTGCCGTGTCATTACATGCAACTAGATTGCCCTTCGTTGTAATAAAAAGGTCTCAATGTTCACTCCTAGACCACCAGCAAGCAAATTCCATTTTTGGAGCCTTCTATACAATTCAGCTTTGTGTTTTAGTAGCTATAGGTCGGTGTGAATGTCGTTTAGTCCCTTTTACTATAATAATGCATTCTTGCTAGAACATGTCAGTTAAACTCAGCTTCATTTGATGTTGAAGCTTCCGTGCGTTATTCAGGGGTATCCTCTTCCCCTTCTTCCAGTTCAGTACTTGTTTCTGGCTCAGCTGTATGTGGTAAATCTCAGCTGCGTAGTACTAGACGTTGGGCAGATGTTGGGCAGATAGGATATCATGATATCAACTTACACTTCGGATTTACCTGAAGTTTATTTCTATCCCATTACACAATACAGTATTAGCAGTTATCTGAATGACTGCTTGGTCCACACCAGACCACTCGCACTTCAAAAGGCTTTCATTGTATTTCGTTTCCTTTTCCACCACTGGCGGTGCTTTATCATAGGTACTGCAGCCTACGTGAGTAGCCCAACTTTTTGGGGTCACCAACTTCGCATCCAAAGTAAGGTGATAGGTATTTTACAGTTTGAAATCGTTCTCCTTTGTGCAGTTAAAGTTATTTCGCCGCAGATGTAACGAAAATTGTCATGATTGTTTGCACTGTGATGTGGCATGGTGACTATTGATGTAAAGTAAAATTAGCTGTTTCTGTTTTAGAATCACTCTATTTGTTGAGTGAAACGTAAATGGTTACAATGAAGTCACAGAGGAAAGTGTTGTCTCGTGCAACACAGAAACTGATGCCACTTTCGCACAATTACATCATACAACTGCACAAAAAAAATTAAACCCTGAAATTACTGATCGCAGGAGCCCTTGGCCTTTTTAAAAACAATATAAACTATTGGAAAGCGACCTCAAGCTGTCAAAAAACTAGACCTAAACTTCTAAAACAAGTTCATTTTCGAATTCAGCGTTCCCAGATTAGTGAACGTCAACTGGTAGACCAGTGATATCAGTATGCATACCTACGTCTGCAAAGAAATTTCACAACTAAGGTAAAAAGGAAAACATTTAAATGCCACACTCCGACTTTTGGTGCCTTTTATCAGCTAGCGACAGTAACATGCAATGCTTGACCCATGATAAAGTTGAAAGTTGAGACCACAGAATAAAAAAAAAATTCAACAAATTTAGGTCGAACTTTTCGTTAAGAAAACTGTTTATCTGTTATCCAGGATTAAAAATTGGAAACACACACTTAATGCACCACCTCTTTCCGAAGGAAAATAACCTCCTTTTTTAACTTGGCAAGAAATAATATTATTTTCTGGGAAAACCAGATTTCGCAAAGCCAGGATTCTGTCCCTTGGTTGGTCAAAGTACACTGCACAGGGGAACTAACCAAACAAACGGGCGCCATTTTTAAAACGTAAATCCATTTTCATTATTCCATCCCCTAGAGTACAAGTTACCGACGTTCACTTTCACAAAAGTACCTTTTGTATTCAAAATCCCCCGCCTTCTCTTAGCACATCCTGTCTGCAGAGGGTCAACGTGGGTCCAGACCACAGCCTTGTAATTTATAAGTTCAAACTTAGGGTAAAGATGATGGGTTGTATCAGTAGAAACCAAATAGGAACCGAGGCAATACGAACACTGTTCTATACCTGTAGAGACGCGCAAAACTGGTATTGATTAGTGGCATCACAAAATAGGTTACCAATGGCAATGTTACATTAGACGAAAAATATACAGACGGGTGATAATGGGTGAATTATGGAAACGTGCTTTGGAAACTTTACAGCTTTCTCTGTCTGTCTGTCTGTCTGTCTGTCTATCTGTCTGTCTGTCTGTCTGTCTGTCTGTCTGTCTGTCTGTCTGTCTGTCTGTCTGTATGTATGTATGTATGTCTATCTGTAACAAATTGGATTCAATACAAAGATTCCACCGTTATCTACTGCCTGTTTTGAACCACGCAGCTTGAATTTAGTTAATGTTCTTTGAAAAAATAGGTCACAATTTAACGACCACGTTTACAAGAACAAGAAGTAATACAAATGCGTTTATAATTGACAGAAAAAACAAATATGTTACAGCCATCACGTCAAATTAAAGAGATCATCTAAGGGCCCGATTTCTATTTCTCAGCATTGTCTCTATCCCATCTGATATCCATGATTTAGTTTTAGTAAGATCACGTATGCCAATTAATTTCGTAGAACTGAGCAGGTTCACCAATTTTATACAGCAGCTTTGATTTCTTCCTATTTTCCATAGTGTTGACCTCTCAATGCTTCTTTTTATAGGATCGAAAAGATGAAAATCTGAAGGTGCCAAGTCGGGGGGATAAGCTTGGAGTGACTGTTTTTCATTGAAGCGAAGTGATTGTCTCCCTTGCTTCAACACGTGTGCAGGCGGCCATTGCCATGGTAAACAAAAAACAACAACAAAAGAACAACCAAAACAGAAAAACAACAAACAAACAAAGAAAAGAATAAACATACTCAGTCCATTTTCAAAGTTTTCGGATGCTGGATTTCAGTCGTTTATAGTAATATATGTAGAGGATTTAAAGGTTAAAACCTCTGTATAACTGAACTAAGGTACTGGCAAGTCCATACAACACACCAGGCTTTTTCATCTTCACATATTTTAATTGTGGGCCATTTTTGTTGGCTGCTTTTAACTTCCTATCAAATACCAAATTTGAGTAAAGTGTCTTTCCCAAGAGCCGTACGTTGGTCCCTGACGGGATTTGAACCCATGACCTTACCGCTGCTTGTCCGAGAGCCCAACACACACACACACGCACACAAACACATACACACACACACACACACACACACACACACACACACACACACACGGACATCTTCCGGATTACACGAAAATACCAACCTGGAATCCACCCGCAATGACACAATATTAAGAGATCTTATTTTACTTTTAGTGACCCACCTGAGGTGTATCCAGTGCACCCTGATGAGCCATAACGGTAAACATTCCAAGTGGTCAAAACCAACCACATAATTTGTTTTTTAATCTATGACAGTTTATTGATTCTCGTGGGCAAACATAATATCTTAAAATACTTATTCAGCCGGAAATAAAACTTATGACCCCTAGATCCAGATAAGAATACTGGGGCCAATATGTACCTTGCTAAGTTTTTGTCAATGGCGGATGGAGAGCAAAAGTAGGCTCTCGTGGTATAGACGTTACGGTGTTCGCCTCTCATTCAATAGCTTCCAGGTTCGAAACCTGAGACCGACCGATTTTTTTTTCTAAAAGTGCCTCTCCTTTCACCTCATTTGATGATCTCGTACCATGTTCTGTCGTCTGCTTTCGTCTTCACTTTCTGCCCCCTCTCCACTTTCCCTTGACCCCTCCTCTGGGGTCGGGACTCTTTTTGTAGTCTTTCTACTGCTACACCTTGGCTCCTTCTTAGTGCTGTCTAAGGCCGGTCCCAGAGTGGCTCTGTAGGTCTGACCTGTAGCTCGCCTGGCTCGCACCGTGCAAATGGATGTATACATTATCGTGTGCTAAAGCGGCGTAGCTGTATCGTCTGTTATTGTCAGCAGAGCTGCGCGATGCG